AATTTTAGGATTCTAGGGCCGTATCCTCTATAATTTGATGAGAGAGGTATCCTGGTGAGCGATAGCGCTACAATATTATCCAAAGAAAGTGCTGCACGAATGAACCCCACTGTTCTAAATCGTGCGTTCCGATCTCTTGAACATCTTTAGAAGGGTGTTCTGGCACGCCATGTATAAAGATTGTGTTTAGGCGGTCTTACTTGCTGTGCCCCTCTCCAGTGTTGCCTTTTGATTGTCGCACGCGCCAAGGGACATCAAGATAGATGCGCATTCCACAGGACCCGTGTTTTAACGCGCTTGCGGAGAGCAAAACGTTTTCTACGTCGGTGGAGGATTTTAGTGTTACTCGAATAAATCTGGGTTCTCCATAATGTGGCGAGTTCGGATGACGAGTAAGTTGTAATAAGTTTATGGGCTTGGCTTTGACACTCATCTGCACGCACAATCAGTTCCATTGGTCTTGGTCGTCCTGACCTGTTGACAAGTGTTGATTGTTTGCTGTAGGTCCCTCTATTCGCGTTAACGCTGTTTACAACAGAAGAGGCCACAACCGTGGACCTTTGCATCAATCTCTGCATATGTAACTGATGTTCGGGGTGATTTGTCTCGACAAGAGACATTTGAGCTACAGGTACCGAGGGTTGGTGTTCGGCTGCTTCATCCTGGTTAATGCTAGATGTCAGGTCTAGTGGAAGTTGCTTAACCAGACGTTTCGAGTGGTGCCTGATTTTCGTTGCCGTGAGTACTGTTTGACTCTCGTAGGTACGGTCTGTTTTCGCCCGGCGTTCTACCAAAGTTGGAGAAAACAACGGAGATGGGGACGTGGTTGATTGCGGTTCAGGGGAAGCGGATTGTGCAGCATTCCGTTGCTTAGAAGCCGCTACGCTTCCGTGGTGCATACTCGCTTCTATTAAAGTAATCTTATCGTTTATCCTCTGCTCGGCTTCTGTGGTTAACCGGTCGCACTTCTGAGCTAGCATACGCAAGCACTTAACGAGTGGGATGGCGAAGCACACAGTACAGTGCATCTTGGGAGCTATTTCGCTCTTGTACCCGTTGTTGGGACACATTCGCACATTTCGTATGATACCATTCCAAACAGTGCGAGTAAGCCAGACCGATTTTAACTACTCGATGTCATTCTCCTAACCCGCAACTGCCTTTCGCTTGGAGCCCTTTCGGTTTCGCATTTCTGCCATTCAACGTGGTTTCGTTACCTGACCCAGTGGGTTTGTTAGCGTTCTTTACTTTTCCAGATTTGAGAGCGGCGCACATCGGTTAGGCCAGCGTGGTGGTTGCAAGATCATGCATGGCATCATGATATCTTTCGGGCACTTAGTATGTGATCCTACTCAGAACCGAACAAAGTTCTGGATCCCCACGCGCCCTTTAGATTTATTTGATCGTCGCAGGAATTTACCTGCGGATTTCAATCATAATGAAGTGCGCCGTTCTGTCAGTTGGCAGCTCAAACAAAGCCTATGCAGTGATCGCGAAGCTTGGTGGTCTCAGCGCGCTTCGGAAATAGAGGCCGTTGCCCTGTCAGGCAATAGTCGCAAGCACCTTCAGCTCATTCGACCCACTGGCCAAAAAAGCCTGGTGTCAGTGAAACTATTTGCGAAGCGGATGGTTGGCCGATTGTCAACCTACAGAGACGCTTGGATCGATGGGCCGACCAGTTTCGGTCTCAGTTCAATTGGTCATCATCGTCCATTTGTATGCCCTGCGAAGCAAGCCGCTCGCTTTGGGTCATCACACTTGATCCGCCCAGTGAAGCGGAAGTTTGTCTTGCGATTCGACATCCGAGACAATTTAAGGCTGCCGGCTCAGAAGGACTTCCTCGGGAGCTGTTCAAGTATGGAGGCGCAGTTATCATCAGCCAGTTAACCACATAGTTCTTCAAAATTGGCATGAAGCAAAGGTTGCTTCTTCCTGGGGCGAGTCAGTTATTGTCCCGATCTTTAAGAATGGTGCTCACAATTCACGCACCAATCACCGGGGAGTAGTCTCATTTCAGTTGCTTCCAAATTTTTCGCGTCCATTCAACTCAGTAGACTTTCCACTTTCGCGAATCGCAGTACCAGGAAGAACAAGCTGGCTTTCGTCCTGGCAGTGAGTGCTTGGATCAAATATTTACGCTCCGCCGAATCCTCGACCATCGCCATCTCCACCAAAGGCCTAGCAGCGTTGCATTCTTAGACATCTGTGCTGAAATCGAGTCGGTTGATCTACCTGTGCAGTGGCATTGCTTGCTAAGGAATGGGGTCCCAGAAAAGTACACTACCATCCTACGCGCACTCTAGCTCCATATCTCCGGCAGAGTGAGTGTTTATGGCAAGCTTTCGTCGTCATTTGCTCTCAATAGCGGTCTTCTCTCCAGTTTTGTGATTGAAGACATCCTGCTGAGGGCTTTGGAAGGTTGTCAAAATTTTAAACTACAACTACTGCCGGGCAAACGAGAAATTGAGTCATATTATGGCGATGACATCGCCTTGCTTTGTGATGACTTATAGAGCATGCAAACTGTTCTTAACCGTTTGGCGAATGAGGCATCTAAGTCCGGTCTATGCTCCCTCTCATCAAAGTAGAAGTTTCTGCTCCAGGATTGGCGCTTGCCCGTTCCCGTGCTCACTCTTGATGTTACAGAGCTTGAATAAGTGAATAGCTTTGTCAACCAGGGTAGCTGCGTGTCTGTTGGTGGCTACTGTGAAGGAAGTTTCTCTCCGCATCGCCATAGCTCGGTCTGCGTTCGTCAAAGTAAAGCAACTGTGGCACCGTCGGGAGGTCTCCCAATTGGTAAAGGGTCGAGTGTACAATGTCACCGTTCGGGCGGTGTTGCTATATGGAAGTGAGTCGTGACCAGTTCGCGGGGATTACATGTGCCGGTTCTCGGCTTTTGACAATGGGTGCTTGAGGAGGATTGCTCGTGTGTGGTGGCAGCAATGTGTTTCCAATGGTGAAGTCCGACGTCGTGTCCTAGGGAATGCGAGTATGCCCCTCGACAATCTGGTTTTGCTGCGTCAGCTAAGATGGCTCGGGCACCATTTGTGTATGTCAACTGAGCGTTTGCCTGACTGCGCCCTTTTCGTTCGCGCAGTGCTTGGCTGGAAGAGACCACGTGGTGGTCAGTCGTCCACTTGGTGTCAGCATATGAAATCGTTGACTTCACGTCTTACTACCGTTGGATCCACACACCTATCTGGTTGGGGACCAAAGGATGAAGAGTACCGATAACTAGAAAGATTGCCACAGATAGCGCGTAGTTGAAACCAGTAGATAATTTGTGTACATACTTGTTTAGATTCAGATATCTAACGCTTAACAATTGAAAACGAAAAAAATGAAAAACGACGTGTAAAAAAATAACAAAAAGATTTCCGTTCTTTTTACGCACAATAGCTGAAGTGTGTTGCGCCCCATCAGCTAATGCGTCATGATGAGGATGTGGTGACAACCTGTATTCTTCTTATGATTTCTATGGTTTTGTTTGGCTCTATGTCTATTCGTTAGTCTGTTACCAATAAATGCATACATACAGAATAGTCAGAGCATGGTCGTGCGTGGATGGTATACGACCAAGCCAAAGAATTTGAAATGGGGACGCCTCGTGTTCAACTAACACATTATAATCTCATTGTGACGCGTAACAAAACACCACAATAGCCTCCGTTAATTAGACATACTGCTCACATGTTGACCGGGCGGGTCGATCAAAGGGTAGTCTGTTGAAAAGTAAGTAGAGTTAAGCATGTACTTTTTAAAAGTTCCCGGTACAACACAATTGCTCTCTGATCCAGTATTGTTCCGTCGCTCACAAGATTTACATTGCAGATTCACTGGGAGAACAGCATGCTGTTCGACTCATTATAAACTAAAGATTATCTACTATGACTCATACGGTGTCTGACTGGCGTAAAAAAGCGAGATCGAATGGTGAGTCTAAGAGAAAGCAGTGTTTATCGAGTTACCGATCAAAGATTGTCACATTGCGAAAGTCAGAGGGAAACGGAAGGGCGTTTCGCTAAAAATTAGTAAAAAAAGGCTGCGCGTAACTATGCTCAAATATTCAAAGAAAACACCTAGATAAGTCACCGTGTGTCACACTGTTGGCACCCCCACATTTGTAGCCGGTGAGACAGCTACATCGGGTGCACCGATCGAAGCGTGGCTCTCTGATATGGTAGACGCTTCTGCTCCTGACTATGAGGACCTCTGTGAGCCTTCAATGCAGAATCAAGAGACTGATCATATAGGTTAACAAGGACGACCCGAATGTGTTGCTGGGCGCCTTCAAACGAAACCGAATGTCACAATTTTTCCCGGCACTTGAGGCAATGATTATCAACTGAGAGTAGCTGACGCACTGCGTACGGGAGCAGTCTATGTCAACATCATGGAGGTGCGAAGCGCGCAAATCATTCAACAACAGGGCTTACATGACCTCATTATTTTGGAATACGATGAGCCGCTCGCTTGGGACCAACGAGAATGCAAGAATCGATTTAATCCCCTTACAACGTACGTCGTTTGATAATTGTCTGAGATGCTAAGGAGTTTTTAGCTCAAATATTTAAAAGCCAGGTGTGGAACGTGTTAATCCGGCTGTCTCATGCCACGGAAGAAAAGATGGTGGGCAAATTATGATGCAAACATAAAAATAACCGCAGCTAGTCGTATAAAATGCGGGAAATCAGAGGGAAACACCAAGTAGGACACAGTTTGTCCATTAATAAACAGAAATATATGTAACGTGATCGTAGGATGAACAGAGTACCGGACGTCGGAAAACGGTAACAAATACAAGCCAAAAAGAACACCCTTCAATAATCAAGGACTGAATCAGGTAGAATGTCATGAGGTTAGCACATAGTGCGATGAAGCATTTCAAGCAATTGAATAGGCGGTGGAACGATGAGACGTGCACCCGAAACGAAGAATCGCATGTTCGATGGAAGTGAGCGGGAATACCGTATGACGAAGGCCAATTTAATGACTGGCGACTATACAGGGCAGGGCTGGAGAGAAAATCGACATGTGGAGGCAGTGGTCACAAAAAGCAGATCACAATTGGGAGGGGACTATAAGGAGTGTTGAAAGAATTAAATTTGAAACACCGGGACGTCGATTGAACTAACCGGCATTCGCAGAAACACGAATGTGCGAAGTCCAAGCACTACCACCAGAAGGTAAAGAACTGAAATGGAAAATGAGAAAACGGGAAGTAATCAATGATGAAACAATGTTTTGGATGTTTAGGGGCATCGTTGAACAAGGACGATAGGCCAGCGGGATAAAAGAACCCATCAAACAGAACGCTGCGTGATCCCGAAGTAAATAACATCATTTCAGAAAGAGTACATTGGAAAAGTGTAGTACGAAAAAGCAAGAACGAACGAAAAAGCAGCGGAGGCAAATTATGCCAGGAAAAACTACAGCCAATCTGAGTCGTGAGAACAGCTAACGGGCCTGAGTTGAGGTATTGCAGTGCTAGGTGCCTCAACCAAAGGATGATGTAAGATTGAGAAAAGATCATTGACCCCTCAATCATCATTAACATCAATACACGTTAGCTGAGGATGAGAGACACACCACAGTAAATGTGTAGCAATACAAAAAAGAGAAGAGATTAAACATTCCAGACTATAAAAGCTAAACAAGTGAAATAGTGCTAAAATCACATTATGCATTGGGTTGAGATCGCGGTTGGAGGGGGAAGTTAAAGGGGAGGGGAGGCACAGAGAGACACAACACAAACGCCATTGAGGTCGGCTCCTCGCCATGCCAGATACTGTATCTAACTAAAGGTGCTCATCGTCCTTCGGTTCCCCGCCAGGCAGTCGGTTAACACCAACCAACGGCAACTTCGAAGTGAGGGACTTCATTCCTCTAAACCGAGTCACCGCTTGGCCTTTCCTTCTCCTCTTCCAACCGCACACACGTCGCGGGACTCGGTGTGCTGACATGCGCAACACGTGGCCCAGCCATCGGAGTTTGGGGCTGAGTGGTGCACGCGCTCTTCCTGCACTAAATACGCGACGCGAAACACGCTCATTGCTCAAGCAGTGTTCCCACCAAACATGGACTAAGCTTCGAAGGCAGGGATAGTCGAATGTAACTAGCCACTTTATGTCGGTTGATCTAATGCGCAAGGTTTCGCAACCGTACAGGAGGACTTAACACAGACGGCTGACCTGCCCAACAACCTCGTCCTGGTGCCAGCTAAGTGGTTCGGATATTTCCCGTTCCAGCGAATGGTTCGGCAGCAGTGTTCCAGGACGTGGTGGGTTTTCGCCTGGCAAGCGTTCTACCTATAAAAAGCCACAAATGTCTGTTTAAAAACACCGCGACGTGGCGGATGTGCCTCGTCACTAAATAAAGTCACTGCCCCTTGCCCCTCCCTGAGAGGCATTGTACTTTAAGGGTGCGTTGGGCCCCTGGTCCTTCACGGACCGAAAGGCGTATGAACCATCTATTTGGTCACCGACTCCCAACTGGTTGCGACGCCCTCACATCGCCCTGCTGCCTTGTAAGTTAGATCTTTGATCAAAGGCTCGGGGTAGGGCCCCTAAGACAACCCATTACTTCGGCCTGGGTAACCGGGTAGTATCACGCCCACTGATGAATCATGGACCACACTGCTTACTACTGCTCCTGCTATGCCTATTTTCTGTGCTAACTCAACCGCTCAATCTCCACTCACAGATCACCCCACCTCCCCTCCTTAACCCGCATGTACTCTTATGTCTTCTACGGTCGCCGTTACAAACGACCCACGTCTCGCAACTGATGGAAGCAACAGCCAAACTCCCGGTTTTCAATGTCCTGCCATCGCGACTGCTTCTCACTCCACCGAAACTCCAGCTCTTCTTCGACCTGGTTCTTCATTCATCCTCGCAGCGTTTAATGTTCGAACTTTGATGCAAATCGGACGACAAGGATGTCTGGCCCGTACTTTTGAAACGCTTTCGGCAGACATCTGTTGCCTTTCAGAGACCAGCTTACAAGACTAGCGCCGTCATCAGAATGGCTTCTCCGATAAACCCTGATGCCAAATACTACTTGCGGCTTTCCGCAGACCTAGAAGCTGCCGCCACTGGCCAAGCTGGTGTTGGCGTTGCACTGAGTGCCAGGGCTGAATCAGCTCTGCTTGAATGGATCCCAGTCAACAGTCGGCTATGTACAGTCAGACTACGAGGTTCATGTAACGTAAGCAGGCGTCGAAACGTTAAGCGTGCCTTGTTTGTCGTCTCCACCTACGCCCCTACAGAGTGCAGCCCGGATGCAGTTAAAGATAGCTTTTACCAGCAGCTACATGAAGTTCTGCGTTCCTCCAAAAGGACTGATATAGTCATTCTTGCCGGGGACTTTAACGCACGGGTTGGCCGCCTTCCACCAAGCGAGCACTACCTTGGGGGTAGTTTTGGTCTCGGTGGCAGTCGATCAGACAATGGAGACAGACTGCTTGCTCTTTGCTCTGATCATCGCTTGATTCTTTCGAGCACTAGTTTTCGGCACTCGAGGAGACACACTGCTACCTGGCGCCCGCCCTCACAAACGCAAGAGTGCTCCCAGCTTGACCACATAGCAATCAGCTACAGATGGCGCGGAAGCGTAACGGACTGCCGATCGTACTGATCAACCTTTCTAGACTCCGATCATGCATTGGTCAGTGCTAAGATTTGCATGCGTTTCAGAGGATCACCTAACCGCGCTCACTACCGACCGGACGTGACAAATCTACAAAACACTGCGATTTTAACCAGGTACCAAGCCTCACTGTCAACTTTGCTTGGCACAACTATTGACGGTGATCTCGATTCGCAGTGGGCGTATATCAAAGCTGCTTTAGTTTCCGCCAGTATCGACACTTGTGGAGTTGCCCGTCACCCACCGAAGCATCGTATTTCCGTCGACTCCTTGTCGCTGATGGACAAAGGCCGCTTGATCCCGTCGGATTCCAGACACAGTGAAGAATGCCAATCCCTTGGTTGAGAGTTGCGTAGGATGATGCGAATAGACCGCGAAGCTTGGTGGTGTGAAGGTGCTAGGGAGATGGAGCTTGCTAGTCCGTCTGGTAATACCAGAAAACTTTTCCATCTCATTCGAGTCACCGAAGGTGTTCGATCTGGTATAAGTGAAACAAAATGCGAAGAGGATGGCACCTTAATCACTAATCTCCAACGACGATTGGAGCGATGGGCCGAACATTTTGGCTCGCAGTTTCGTTGGCCCCCATCTCCATCTGTTACCTCTGGCGCTCGCGCTAGGGCCGTGTGGTCTACCCCCACAGATTCTCAATCTTACCAGGAAATCGAGCAGGAGCTCCGGCACATGAAGCTTTATAAAGCCCCCGGCCCTGATGGTCTTCCTCCGGCTCTATTTAAAGATGGTGGCGCTTCGCTGGTTCAAGAAGTCACTGCTTTGTTCTCAAAACTTTGGTCGAAAGTTCTGTCATCTTGGGGTGAATCGAGAGTCGTCCCTGTCTACAAAAAGAGCCTGCGCAAAATCTGCTAAAATTACAGAGGAATAAGTTTAGTCCCCGTCGTTTGCAAGCTGCTGGCATCCATCATACTTCGCAGGCTATCACCAACGCGCGAATCCTTGCAATGTGAAGAACAAGCTGGGTTTCGACCTGGTCGAGGCTGCATCCATCAAATCTTCACACTCCGCCAGATCCTCGTGCTCCGCCATGTGTATCAGAGGCCAACGATTGCTGTGTTCCTGGATATCCGTGCAGCCTTCGATTCTGTCGATCGTACAGTACTGTGGCACTGCCTACTGAGGAATGGTGTCCCCGAGCTTTTCGTCTCCATACTGCGCGCTCTATATAGTCTGACCTCGGGCAGGGTTAGGGCTTATGGTAAGCTTTCGCCTACCTTTGTGGTCTCCAGTGGAGTTCGACAAAGATGCCCTATCTCTCCGTTCCTATTCAACTTTGCCATTGAGGATGTCTTGAAGAACGCTCTAGGCGATTCGTCGAATGCTGGCGTTGAGCTCCTCCGAGGTAGTCGAGTTGTTGATTTGGATTACGCTGATGATATCGTTTTGCTGGGTGACGACCCATACGTCGTCCAACTTGCATTAAACCGCTTGGCGATTGAAGCATCAAAATACGGTATGTACTTTTCGCCATCCAAATGCAAGGCACTCTTCCAAGACTGGCAGGTGCCTCTGCCTGCACTCACGCTTGCTGGTGAGACAATAGACGTTGTGGAGAACTTTGTCTACTTGGGAAGTTGCATCACTGCTGGCGGGGCTGTTGGAGACGAGATTTCGATGCGCATCTCGAGAGCTCGTCTCACTGCATCAACTGGGGTGGTTGGGACACGTATTGCGCATGTCAGTCCAGCGTTACCCGTGTCGTGCGTTGTTTGCGGTTGCTGGACAGGGCTGGAAGAGACGGTCTGGTGGACGGCCTACAGCATGGAGAAGCCGCATGAAAAAGCTGACGAAACAGTTGGCCTCGACCGGTTGTTGTCGACCCCCTGGTTGGGGTCCGAGAGATGCGGATGCTTGCTGGTTAAAGACCTTGGAAGCTATGGCTCAAGATCGATCTCAATGGCGGACGTGTGCATCGGTGCGTTGCAGTGTCCCTCTTTCTCCCCATAAAAAGGTTTCAAAAACTGAGTGGTAAAATTGACAAAAAAGCTTTTGTTGTCGCGCTTTTCTTATTATTCATACTGTTTTCCTTTTCAGCTATGATTCCGATGGCACAAAATCCGTACCACAGATTGTTTAACATATATATATATATATATATATATATATATATATATATATATATATATATATATATATATATATAGTAAACTCTGCCATTCAGAGCGGGAGTGATGTCACACCGGCGCCATCGGTGGCGGAAATTGGCAAAAGCACCTGGGTACGCAAGGATAACAACCTCTTCATCACAGCTTCCGCAGTGAAGGTGATGTTGTCTAAACCCGAAGAGGGAGTAATAGAAACGAGGAGAATGTTTGGGCTCGTTACCTGCTGGAATGTTTGGGAGTAATAAAGCCGTAGGAGATCAGCTGTTTCCATTGCTGATCGCGTGCACCTAACAGCCGTGACTAGCGCTGGAACCCCCCGCTTCACCTTTCGAAGGCCGTTAACGTGCCTGTACAGAAGTTTGCGGTTCGTGCAGAATCGCTTCATTAACTCCTGCTGATGCGTGACTTTGTCTTTGCGGATCAGTTT